GAGAACTGATTCTTAGTTCCAGGGCTGACTTGTAGGTTATGAGGTGATCCAGCCAAGTCTGGACCTCAACGCCCTCGCACACCCATAATAAGTCATGAAAAAGCTGGTCGGGAGAAAAAACGCCACCACAAAACGTTGTAGAGAGCTTCAAGAAGAGTAGCCCTGAACATGATTTCAGACCTTGCACAGTCGCGAATGAAGACCCTACTCAAGTTCAATGATAGTTCAATCGATTACTAAGCTCTTGTTGCTGTTTTTGTTGGCTTTCACTTGAACATTTTTTTATTACCCTAAAATCCCATAGATAAGAGCGGTTTAATTTACCGGTGAAAAATGAATTGGAATGAAATTGAAATTGAATGCAGTCACCCCTCTAACTTGATGGATGGATAAATAAAAATCGGAGAAGAAGTTTAGAAGAAGCTCCGCCCCTCAACTCTAAACCCCGCCCACTTAATAAACAATTCATATAGAAAAATAGCGATTTTAACGGAATTTCTGCCGGAATCTCTCTAGAAATGCCGGAATTTGATCTCTGGATAGAACTTGAAGAGCCCATTCGATCAGTAAAATTCCATAGATAAGAGCGGTTTAATTTACCGGTAAAAAATGATTTTGAAAAAACATTTTTAAAATTTTATCAGTTGTAGATGGCATCTTCAACTTCTTCAACGCTTGGTTTTTTGTATCGTCGGGCTCTCTTCGTTGCTGGCATCTCTTGAAGATTTTGTCGATCAACAACCCACTTTCTTATCATTGCTTCAGTGACTTCAAAATGACGAGCCGCTGCCAAGGTTCCATGCAAATCACGATAATTGACGGCGTCTAGCTTGAAAGCTGCTGTATACGATTTACGACGTTTCATAGCAGGTGATACAGGATAGAAAGAGTATAGAAAACAGTAAGAATAAAGGTAGAGTTGTAGGCTATTATTGCGATAATCATGAGCACACAACGCCAAAAAAACGTATACAAACGTCAATTTTCATTTTCTAGCACAAACCGCTCTTATCTATGGGATTTTAGGGTATTCCAGCTTAAGACAAACACTAAGAAAAACACAAAGAACTGATGAAGATGCAGTTCTGTAGCCTTTCTCATTTTTTGCAGTACTGCGCCTAGCTTGGTTAAACCATTTCAACAAGAGTCCCGAATTTCCTTGCTCACGTCTAGATTTATTTCTTTCACAATCCTCTGTTCCCCGACCAGAACTGACGAGCATTTCAACTAAGTGTTCGTGACATTTTTTATCTTTTTCAAACTTTCCGCCGAACTAAATCATCTGTAGTCCAGTCAATCATCTCCCTTTCAATGCCTTCTTCGTTCCACAATTTCAAATAGGATTTTTCCGCCTTTCTTTTCGCTTACTAAAAGTCAACCGGCACCAATGCACACATTCCAGCGCGGTAGTTAGCCCTGAACCGGCTATCGAAGAGTTCGTGAACCAGATCTTCGTTGAGATTAACTTATGTTGTCACGTGCTCTATCACTTCATCTTTTCAGAAGAAAACAACAAATAAAAATGGGTCGACATTCGAAGAAGTTGTCAACAAGGAGAAATTCTTGATTTATCTAGAGCAATAATCTGAAGAAAAAAGTGTAATAATCAGTAATAATAATCTCCAACCTTGAAATAAATGGGCGCCGTGTCGCCTATTTCCATGGGCACTGGAATGCACTCTATGACGAGATGCGGACCTGCGCTGACGTTTCGTGACATTTCCACGAACAGACAATCCTGATCCTGCTCGCGCCACATGGCCACCAAACCTTAAAACGATCATATCAAGATGAGGGTTCAAACTGTTAATCACGGGCGTATAAGCCGCGCTTGTTTACAAACTCCCAGATCGTTTACACTCTACGGCATCATGGTGTTACAGCCGCAGAAGTCTTTGTCATGCTGTATTCTACACTCTCGATTTATTTCCATAAATTTTTTTGCTCAATATTTCAACGGAACTATCGCAGGTTGAAAGGTGAATAGCAACATAAAACATACTATTGATAAAACAACCAAATTTAATGTCAGGAGGATAAAAGCGCTTTTTTCCGTTGGTTTTAAGATGTGATAAGGGGGGGGGTGGGGGTTGAACGTGAACATCATTGGTGGGTGGCAGACGTCATAACAACTGACAAGGGGTCTTAAAATGGGAGGGTCACCAAATTCAAACTCGTATCACAGCAATGGTGGAATGTAGGTTCCAGTAGGTGATGTAGGGGCTGGACGTGAACATCATTGGTGGCGGCAGGAGGTGATAGCAGCTGACAAGGGGCTTTAAAAGGGGAAGGTCACCAAGTTCGATAAGCCATGGCGTGAACCATGCGCGCAGAACAGCGCGAAAGCCAAACTGGTCGTCTAAAAGGGTCAAACAATAGCACGATTGGCTCACTACGCCTTTTTTGAGGATGCGTCATGCACTCTGTAACCAGCCAGAATAATGGCAGCCTTTGAATGCGCCATGCGCTCTTTTTTACGTAATGGTCAATGCGATCAAATCGCGAACAGAGAACGCACTCTCTCTGATCGTTCCCCCATTCTCTCACCTTCTATCTGTTATCTATTGCCTGCTAGGTAACCTCTCAATTCTTGGAATGCTCGCCAAATCCTCGGGCCCCACTCAAGACATATTTGATAGTCCTGTCCACTCTTTCTTCACTGCCAACTCAACTGACATTCATAAACCCATGCATAGAACCCAATATCCACCTGTAATAGTGGAACGTGTCTTCAAGCGATTCGAGAACTTTGAGGCGTAAGGCAAGGCATAGGATAATTTGGTACTTGTTCGAAAATAGTAGCAGAGGTGCTAACTGTG